ATCTGCCATACTTCATATCAGTTTCGAGCAGATTATTAGTCAATCATTAAATGTGAGGACCGTATAAAAACCTTTAAGGACTGGCCACAACAAGTGCATCAGACTCAAAACAAGCTTGCTCTTAACGAGTTTTTCTATTCAGGACAAAGTGATAAAGTCACCTGTTTCATTTGCGAAGTACATTTAAGCTCATGAACAGCCTAGGATTGTGTAGAAATCGAACATAAAAGGTGGTCGAAAGATAGCGTATACTTACATATGGTGATACCGTTGAGTTCATGCATATTCATTTTTGAATAACCTCATACCATATTAAGAACATTTTAATGACATAGAAGTAGGCCTTCAGCGATGTTTAAGGTACTCACTGTGATTGTTTGCTGTGTAGATATTACAAGGTACACCATTGCGATAATGAGAAGCTGATCGAGAGAGGTTGGTCGTACGACTGGCATCAAATAAAAACACGAACAAATAATCGAATAAGTGAGGATATTAAAAGAGCTTTGGAAAGAAAAACAACTCTTCTATGACGATTCACTGCTTGATTTGTTTATCATGTTTAAAGAGAACATAGACGTTGATATTTCTGGATAATTCACGATGGAAAATCATATCGAGGAGAAAGCCTATGTTTTGCAAAACATTTGTTTTTACAATTCAAAAGTCCAAACACACATCATTTAAAGTTAAAGTTTAAACGTCGAGGGATAACACCAGATTGGAAGGAAATGTCTTTATTTCACAATATGTGGCTTTCATACTAACAGTAGGTGAATTAAAGATAGCGATGACTTACAATGAACTTGTTAGGTATCATAGGTGTCTAAACAGATGTATTGATCAACCATGAAAAAACTAAGTCATGCTCCAAACGAAACAAAAGCTTATGTTATGACAAAATAATAAAATAATATTTGTAAAGGTTCTCGACGGAATGCATGTTAACCAAAATGTTTTAAAGTTATCAAATCTCTTATTGAAATGAAATATATCACATGTTTTCTGTGGGTAAGTGAGCCCAAAAACGTCATAAGTAGAGTATGCTATTTAACTTTCAAACACAAAGTGATATATATTGTGTCGGATTTTATAATATGAAAGTCTCTTATGCACAAAATATCAATTTAGAAATAGTGCTTACCTTCTGGATTCGATTTGGATTTGATATAGATGACGAAGAAAGTTATTGCTAGCAGAAACACTAATGGTGAGATGACAATCACAATCAGAGTGGTATGGGAAAGTCCGTCGCTGGAAGGAGGTACCCCTGAATCTTTGTCCCTGATTGTTATGGTTTGATAGGATTCAGGCGTTGGAGTTGTCTGTTCATTGCCACTGCTAAAGGTATACATCCCATTGTCGGTTGTTGAGTTAGTCTGCTCGATGTCCGTTGTAGGGGTGTATTGTCCGTTATCGGTTGTTAAGGTAGTCTGCTCGATGTCCGTTGTAGGGGTGTATTGTCCGTTGTCGGTTGTTAAGGTAGTCTGCTCAATGTCCGTTGTAGGGGTGTATTGTCCGTTATCGGTTGTAAAGGTAGTCTGCTCGATGTCCGTTGTAGGGGTGTATTGTCCGTTGTCAGTTGTTAAGGTAGTCTGCTCGATGTCCGCCGTAGGGGTGTATTGTCCGTTGTCGGTTGTTAATGTAGTCTGCTCGATGTCCGTTGTAGGGGTGTATTGTCCGTTGTCGGTTGTTAAGGTAGATTAATATGTGTCACTAAACTGGAAATAATGCATCAATTGAAGAGCGATTGATGACAAGCATATGCCACAACATTTAAACATGTTTGTGTGTACTGACTAAAGTATATTTTAATATTACATCAATTACCATCAACGATGTAGGTAATCTGTTCTCCTTTACTTCTATTATCTTTATTGGTTTTCAATTTCAGTTACCTTTAATTATGGAAAATATAGAACATAACAATAAGATGATAGTTACATGTTAATACAAAAATGTTCACATACATATGTGTGACGCAATATGTAAGCGCGGAAATGTATACTTAAAGTACAAAGGGCTACACGTACCTAGCATTGAATCAAATAAACACATTTGCTCATGTGTCCTGGAATATATTGAAAAATCTAGAAGATTTTATCTAGTAACTATACTATACTACAAATTATCTTAATAGAACTCTGTTGTATTTGGGTAGGATGACACTATTGTGACAGTGATTTTTAAGTGCCTCTACCAAACACTAATCTATAGTACTCTGTTGAAATCTATGATATTCAAATTATCATTTTCTGTGAACATGCATTAATTGGTTCTAGTATTCTCCTATTCATTTGAGCATATATTACATCTATAATACTCTTTATCTCTATATGAATGTATGAAATGTGTGTATTTTCTTCGGCAAAAGGGCTTTAATAGGCAATGTCTGAGCCTAATCCAATCGTATGTTCGATGCAATTAAATTGAATTGAAATGAAATATTAATATTGACGCTTTTATCAGGCCCAATCTCTAGGGACTTGCATTTTGGTTATAGCTTTAAAACTGTTGTGATCCTTTGACCATTACTATATATACATTTGTGAAGCATAAAGAGACTTTATTCTTGGGTTATAACTTTGAAAGGGTTGAGATCCCCACCAAGTAACCATATATACCATTGCTGGGCATTTCGAGATGAACACAATCATATTAGTATTGACTCTTATGTCTGGCCCTTCTATTATCTCTAGACCTTATTTCTGGGCCATAACATTACATTGGTTGAGATCCGAGCCATAGATACCATTGCAAGGCATGAAGATCCAGGTGAGCGAAACAGACCCTCTTGGCCTCTTGTATAATAAATCAAAATCTTACTCATGTTCATTTAATATTGAATTTATTAAACTATTTTTTTAATTTCATATGAAATTCGTTAAATGAACAGCGCGGAGCCGCTCTATCACACGAAGGCAATTACACGAACATACTCAAATTGACGTTTATTTTTTACCTGAAGTTTGCTTGATGTTTTTATTTGTGTATACCATTTTTCTGCCCTTATGTCCTATCCTGTGTTTATGGTCCATTAAGCATTGCATGATGATAATTATAACACGCATGCATACTTTCAAATCACATATCGAGGCACTTCCTCAAATGACCTAAGCTGTTAAAAGGACGTTAAACAAGAAAAACCCAAACCATCCATAATTGTGCATGTTCACTTTTGATATAGCTCGGATAAACAAAATGGCTGTCAGGAGGCAATCTTGGATATTTACTTTGAAGGTTTGTCAATATTTTTTCTCAGGCACTTGAGTTCAAAGTGTATATGTAGGCTCTTCCTCATCTCTTATTGAGCATGTTAAATTTTGAGACGGCTCGGATAAACAAAATGGCCGAAAGGCGTCAACGTAAGATATTGACATTGATGTTTTTTTATAGCTCCGGAAATACTAACATATTCTGTCTCCTGGATACACACACGCAAGCACGCATACATTTTACTCAAGGAGGCACCTCCTTAAATTACCTTAGCTGTTAATAGGACGTTAATCAAAATTAAACAAAACCAAACTGGAAATACTGGAAGGATCGGATCTTTCTGAAACATTACATGTAAGTTCCTCTTGGTCCTGAACTGGACATAAACAAAATGACCGACAGAAGGCCATCATGAAGTACCCCTTGGTCGTTTGTTACAGCGTGTGTTGTTGAGATCCCTCTAGGATCTCTTGGTCCTAGCCCTAAGATGCTTTTTTTTCCTTTTCGCGGCAGATCAGAAAGAATAGTCGACAGGCAGCCCTTTTGGATTTCGACAGTTCCAGGTGTACTCAAATTTTAAGGCGTTATCGAGATCTTCTTATATTCTTTCATGCCTGTATCCAGCAGAAAATATTAAGATAATGGGCGCCAAAATACCTCTAGAAAGAAAAGTATTGAGTATTTAAACATAATTGACCCTTTGTCTTTGATCATCGGGTCATTCGTTGTTATAAACTTTATTTAATTTACAACAATTATGAAACAAGTTATTTCAACTTATATTAATCACTCTTGTTGGCCCGGATATTAGCGCACGGGGGTCGTTATGCTGGAGGAAACCGGAGTACTCAGAAAAAACCCACGTGATCGGGCAGGTTACCCCATACTTTTTTAACGTCCGGTCGGGGAATCGAACCCCGGCGGCCTTGGTGAAAGGCAAGTGCGCTTTCCACTTGGCCACCCGACCACTTCATTCGTTGTTCTATTTGTGTATGTTGATTCATAGCCAATCGACAATTTATGTCAATTAGTACCGCAAACACAGGTTCAGTTTGTAGCACACATTCCAGCATGCGATTGGCAAAATATCATTTTTGTTTACTTTAAATTTTGATTTCTCAGACCCTGAAGAAAACACTAGAACACTGAGTTGTATTTCAATGATTATTTAATAAAAAATACACATATTTAGATATATTACAATGTTTTTAATTATTTTGATTACATAATAACATATAAATAATTTCTTTTCACGGTAAGGCCTAATTTTATCTATATCTCATTAAAAAATAAATATATCAATATACCTTCCGATTTAATCAATTGAATTACATAGTATGTACATTAACAATAGCGATTCAAAACTGCTCTCTACTACCACTATCGATGGGATTTTGAATGCAATATTAAATATGATAATAATAGCTCACAATATATTATATCATAAACTTAGTTGATATACAAAAAATACATGTGATACAACTGGCTCGAACATTACACAATATTGGTAATAGTAATTCGTGATATAAAAACACTTGAATTATGGATTTGTTTATGATAATAATAAGCATGATCATACGTTACTCATGACTGCTTGTATAATTCATAAGGATAATCGCTGGCAGGTTTGTGTTAAAAACAAATTATATATGCAATCCTCCGCTTTCGGCCATTGAATTACAAAATACAAAATGTTCGATCAAATAACAATTTAATTATGAGACGTCATAAAGTAATTTTGATAATATAAGCGTGAATTTTCGATGATCATTTAACAATTAAGTTCAATGTTTCAAACTATCGTTCGAAACCTCAGTTGATTCCGACCTCCAACGCCCATTACCTGTATAGTAGTGGAGGGAACCAAGATCCTTGTCGCTGAAGGACAACCTGTTCAAGTATTGGTTGGAGTCCGCCGTTCGATTTGACCGTATGCTTCCAGGGAACGATATTCGCGGCTGGCTTCCAACTTCGGAGTACAAGTTGGACGGCTTAACATTTAAACTACCTTGCTGATTGGTCACAGACAGTTGGTTAGATTTGTTTGTAGAGTTCATACGTGTTGACGATTGGAATGAAAACTCCTTTGTTTTGTTCGAATTATTTCTTCCGTCACCGAAACTTCCAGCTAGGTTTTTCATTAAAAACTCTGAAAGTAAAAGAAAAACAAATCACACCTATTTTTCTCTTAAATGTAAGAGTACAAGTTCTGTATATGGACATAATTATGCTCGCGGTTTGCAATATGATCGAGGGTGTTGATATAAAATATGTTACTAATTTAATTACTTCACGTACTTTTATCAGTAACGTAATATCTGCTAACCTAATTGCAAGACATTAGAATCTTGTCATTCATGTCCTACCTTTTTCCTTATTTTCGGTTATATTTCCACAGGAACATGTGTTCAGCAAAATTAAGGAGTTTGCGAAGACGTAAAGTTAACCCAAAAAGTAAAAGTCATGATTTTATTTTATAGATTTATTGATCAACCGTGAAAATTATAAATCGGGGTCCAAACGAAACAAAAGGTTACAAAATATTTTATGTTATGGCTTTACCGTAGAATATATATACAAGATGTTCTTCAGAAAATTCATTCAAACATTTTGTTTTTAAAACACTTCGGTGTGTTGTTGTTATTTAGCAAATTTTGAAATCAAATGAAAGTGTTTCTTGGGTGCCGTCGCCATGGTATTTTTGTGACGTAGCACTTTAAAATCTGCATTAAATCCGCGCTATATAAAAACCGTTCTCTAACCGTCCAACAAGATATATTTTACTGGTTTGTGAAAGCTGTTGGTCGTTTTAATAAAATAAGAGTCACCATAGTCAATTGTAATATTCAAATTGACGTTGTCTTTTCCCGCGTTACTTAATTTTACATTTATACATTTATGTTTTGTCGACCATTTGTTTGCTCTAATGACCTATCATAATGACCTTTTCTGTTTTGATGGGCGTAAAGCAAATACACATAGTATTTGTAAAGGTTCTCTACGGAAGACATGTTATCCAAAATGTTTTGAAGTTATCAAATCTTATTGAAATGAAATATATCACAAATGTTTTCTGTGAGTAAGTGAGCCCAAAAACGTCCTAAGTAGAGTATGCTATTTAGCTTACAAACACAAAGTGATATATATGGTGTCGGATTTTATAATGTTAAAGTGTCTTACACATTATGCACAAAATTTAAATTCAGAAATAGTGCTTACCTCCTGGATTCGGGTTAACCGCTCTTTTGGATTTGATATAGATGACGAAGAAAATTATTGCTAGCAGAAACACCAATGGTGTGATGACAATCACAATCAGCGTTGTATGGGAAAGTCCGTCGCTGGAAGGAGGTACCCCTGAATCTTTGTCCCTGATTGTTGTGGTAGACAGCCCATTGTCGGTTGTTGAATTAGTCTGCTCAATGTCCGTTGTAGGGGTGTTTTGTCCATTGTCGGTTGATAAGGTAGATTGTCGGATGATTGGTGTTGTCTGCAATGAGGTAATACAATACGTTTGCTTCAGTGATATTAATATATGTCACCAATACTTGAAATAATAATCAATTGTAGTGCGATTGATAACAAACATATGTTTGTTTGTACTGACTAAGTATCTTACAATTAACGTTATAGGTGATATATTTTCCTTTACTTCTATTATCTATATTGGTTTTCAATTTAAGTTAAATTTAATTTGAAAAATATAGAACATAACAATAAGATGATAGTTACAGGATACATAGATGTTCCATTTAGTAGCAGTTGTTCTGCCACTTGCATATTGAAGCCGTTGAAGGTGAAGTTCAAGCCAGACGCAACATCTTCAGCAAGGGACAATATTGTGGTGTTGGTGGTAATCGGATGTCCGTGCAATACACAGGTAACGATTATACTCCCTGTTTAGATATATAAAATAAAAACAGAAACGTGTTTAAAACAGTTTGATTTTCAGGATACTTCATAATTTTGACGGTATATCTTTGACGTTATTTAAATATAAACAACTAACTATATTTCATTCAAATAAAGGAAAGGATAGCAAAAGAGCCAAGAATGACAATAAACGCAAGGGAGCAAAAAATACATTTTACATGTACTATGATGCGAGTCTTTTTTCCTTCCACCTCCATATTTGCTGGGCTAACAGAAATGTAAATACCGGTGCATAACTCATTTGTTAGCTTTGATTTGTTTTATTTCACCTTAAATGCCTCCCCCATCAAGAGCCAGGGTTAAAGTCAGAACTGAACATTTGATCAGTCAGGAACAAAATTTGAGGACAGACAGAGTGATTACTATAGGGCAACCTTATCTTTTATACGGGGACCTAATGAACAAAGCAGGAACACTGGACTTTCCTTCTTGTAAACCAAGCAAGATTAATTAAAATCTCATGTTCTCATTAACATACAATCTGCAAAGTAATATGTTTTTATATTTTATATTAAGACCGACCTTAAACTTTGAGCCAATGAGCTTCAGCTTTGGTCAGTTAATACTTTGTTTGATTATGACCAACTTTGATTAATAATGTCAACATAGCATGTTAAGCAGTTGAAAGATATAAAATCTGACCTTGACCTTTGATCCGATGACCTTGACCTTGACCTTCGATCAGTGAACTTCTTGTTGTATTTGCTTCATAATGTCATAAGAAAATGTTTACCAGTTAAGAGCAAAATGTTTTAATGTTAAAATCCAAGATGGCTGATTATTCGATAAATTACCTAGCAGAAATAGGATGCATGGGAAAATCATATTGTAAAATTTTAAAATCATACTCCATTTACTTCCATTAATATTGTGCAAAAGTAAAAAAAACGGACAGACAGACGGACGGACAACTGATTACCCAACAAAGACGTCAAGTTGATATCTGAATATAACCATTGCATACCTTCTGTCACCGTCACTGCATCGAATAATACATCCGGGTATTTCTTAGTGAGAAAATCGACCACCATTTCTCCGAATTGATCGCTGCTGTTTCCTACCACTGCGCTGTAGTTTTCTTTGAACACCATTGTCACATTAGTTACAATAGCTTTACTATCGTTCAATAAGTTAAATTGATTGTTATGGAGCATTTGAACCTTCACATTCCCGTAGATGTCATACTCCTCTGGTGATGACGTCACATGAACTGTCAAATAGTAGATACCTATCTGATCAAAGCCCAAAGAATCGAACACACCTTCACCAGTTGTAGGATCAATCTGCACTTCTCTTGAACCTGCTATGACATCTTCGGTGCCTGTTTTATTATTTACATCAACCGTAGCTTTCCATTTATGACCCTGCAATGATATTTGATCAAACAATAATGGATGAACAAGCTTCATTTGATAGTCAATAAATCAATTAGGAGACAATACCATGGGTAATTTCAACATTTGACTAACAAAACAAAAGAAAAACATAGTTACCCTCCAAGATATGTTGCTGATTCGTTCTCCTGTTAAATCGTCTACGAGGTAAACGTGTATTGCTGTGTCGTTTTCGATAAAAAATGCACCTGTAGATACATTAATTACACTTCTTACAGTTAATTTTGCAACAGAAAATAAACTGGATTGAGCTGTCATTGGTTTTTTGCCGACAGGATATGTGTTTTTAAAAGCAATAGAAAACTTTGTGCCGTAGTGCGAAATCCGGAGACCAGTGAAGTTTGCCCAGCCCCCTACTATTTCCGTAGTCGTTCCTCCATAGAGATGAGCTTTAGGCTGGGAGCGTCTTGGTGACAAAGTAGCTGTAACTTTCCAAGGGTCAGCGATTGAGCCAAGTTTTTCTATTTCGTTATCCTGTTGAATGAAAAAAGGTCAAGTGAATAATTTAATATTGTAGAGGGATTTTTTTTCAAATAATTTCACCGCTACTTCACCTTGGTTATAATTGAAATACGACTATCAGGTCAACATACATAAAACAATGGCTAAAACACTCTTAAATAATACCGCAAATGTTGCATTGGGTGTAGAAATTTTGTGTTGCATGCTGTTATGTTCTCAAGAAGAGTGCAATGGTCTATGCAGGTATGGATAGTAGAAGGATTTCCATTTGCAAATTTTATCTATGCATGGTTTACTTTGATTATCTTACCCTCGGAAACCTTACGTACATCAGTCTCAGCATCGACATTATCAATTCAATTACACTATCTTAAAAGTTCATAATTTTTGAAATATGTAATATAAAATTTTACTATGTACAACCTTAATCATTAAACAACGAACAAATACTCTAATTGTACGTATTAAACGTGGTAACGTTTCAAGACCGACTGATCTTTTTATCAAGGTATGACCCATACATATGGAGCTTGACTCAGGGACCAGTCGGTCTTGAAACGTTGCGACGGACACGTTTCTTACATACATTGTTTGTGAATAAAGGAACCTTTATATTCGTCAACATTGTTGATTTTGTTTTATTACGGTACTATCGGTTTTCGATTTAATTAAAACTGTTAAATGACTTCAAAATTTGGATTATTTTCATTTATTCAAAATAATTATATAAGCTGGCGTTACATATACCTGTTCGTCGTAGAACCTTAAGCACGGTTGTGTCGCAAACAGTGCTGTTTCGTGTGTCGGTACCGGTTCTATCACCAATTTCATCGCTTTAGGAACCCTAAGCATGCCTTTTGAGTTTTTTGGAGAATCCTTTACTTCTAGTGGTGTTTCATCGCTAAGATCGGGAATCGGTTCATTTATGGCAATGCTTTTAAGAGTGATGTTAAGTGTTTCGCTCATATCTCCTCCACCTTGTACCTCATTGATAAACTTCGCCGACATATTCATGAGAGCATCTGTTGACATCGTTTCGTTGACCGTTGCGTTTGCAGCTGTTGAATTTAAAAACACTTGTCTTATAATGTGTCACACTATATAACTATGACGGATTTTATAAATTCACTCGGGCCTATGGAAAAATGGTTCTCCGAGTCCCTGCATGTAGGGTGTAAGAATTGTACCTGCTGCCCCCATTAAATAATCGTAAGAGGCGACTAAATTTGCGATCTTATCTTTCTCTTCATTCTAATCAACTTTCTTCTTCCTACCGTCTCCCTTGACACTGTCTCTCTTTTGGCCTTTAGTTGAGCGTTCGCCCCTGTGAGGAAGGGCTTTGGGCTCTGTCCCCTGGCCGAGACATACCAGAGTCTGTAAAATGACAGTTTCTACTCCTGCATATAGCTTAGTAATTAAGGAGTATGACGACTGGTTCGCACGTTGTCAGTATAATGTGACCGGGTAGGGTAACCTGCTTGGTGTCTTTTTCAGTATATTTCAGTGAGGTTGCACTATAAAATCGGGATCAGTTCTGCACTTTCACAAGGAGACAAACACGAACATATCGCAGCCTCCCAAAACACACACACATACGCTACACGCATGCATCTTGCACAAAGGGGAGACTGTCCGTAAATGTATATAGCTGTTGATATGACGTTAAACAATACTTAACCAAACAAAACCAATCCAAATGGATTTAAAGTGGCCCTCAATTGTGTGTGACAATAATTAACATCCTCCAGGTTCGGATAAATAATGAATCTGCTGTTTCCTGCTAATCTTAGAAAGAGACTTTCTAGCAGTTCAACTCCCCTTTTGCCAAATCGAGGATTGATTTGTCAACAAGTAATCTTAAACTCAATAGAGATATTCCTTGTTTGAAAATTATATATTGACAAAAGCAATAAATAACTTTAATAGGCAACACATGTCGTAACCCTGCAATCCTGTTGGGTTGTTTTTATTTATTTAATTCACTTTTATGTCTTTCTGTCCTATCTACTCAATTTTCCTAGGAATCCATTTGCTTATAACCTTTGCTGTTGCAGTAGGCTTTAAGATATAAAGGCCGTAATGTTTAAGATCTGAGGTCGTTTAAAGACGTGCCAGTATGCATTTAATAAATGCGTGCATGTTTGTTTGGGGTTTAACGTCCTCGCAACAGCCAGGGTCATTTAAGGACGGGTGCCTAGGGAGACACCACTTGAAACGGAAATTATATAGAAAAGAAAGAAGACAGGTTAGATAGGAAACACGTGTTGTGTGTATGTGTCCTGGATGCGGTATACAGTGTATATGCCTCCTTGTCATATCGCGAATCCGATGCCGAAAATTATTCCTACACATCATTCGACCCGAACACATGCTGAAAACAGTTCACCAAATGTTGCGTTTGCCCTTAATGCCGAACATTTAGCAGAGTAGCAACTAAATTACCCGATGCCAGTATAATGTGACGGTGTGCAATGCTGTGTTATGTCTTTAGCATAGTATTATTAGTGAGGAAGGACTTGAGAGACGGCATTATATCCACGCTATCGCAAGAATTCTTTCATTCATTTCTGGAACCAATCACAAGCAAAACTGTCAGCTTTCTAATCTGTCATGAATAATTCCAAATCCAAGAAAAAATGTAAGTATCGGAAGTGGAACTCTTTGTTTTCAAATAAGCGAAGAATTAGATTTCTAAATTATCAGGATTTTAATTAAATTTTACAAAATCCAAAAAAAACAATATGGATAAACTAAATATTTTATTAACGCTTCTTACTTGTAGCTGGAGGGTCGCTGATTTCTATTTGTATCGTAATATCTTCAGACGCAGCACGTTTCCGTCTTGTAGTCTCCCTGACAATGTTGACCACTCTGATCTTCTCCGGAGGCACGTCGAAGAACGCAGCTAAATTACGTATCAATGATTCCCCATAAAACTCCTCTGGTGTTAATGCAGGGATTTGAAAAGACACTATAAAACTAGGATTTGTAACAATCTTTACTGGGTTGCTTCCTCTGACTAAAACATATAATATGTTTAAATCTCTGTCAAAATAATTTGTTCCTGTAGCATCAGTAGAATTTGATACGGGAACAAATTCTCCTACAAAACTTGGAGGGTTAACTATATACTTTCCATTTACTATCTTAGCGTTTTGTGCTAGTACAAGATCATCACCAGTGTATACGTCTCGGCGGTTAGACTGCGAGTACCAAATACCAAGAGTCACAGCCTCGTCTTCATTTGAATTTAACAGGAAAAGTCGGAGCTCCTGCGGGCTTGTGCTGCTAAAGTGTACTAAATATTGTCTTCCTAAAAAAACAATATGACCTGTATAGTATGTTGAAATTCAGAAGCTTATATAATTGAACCCGCGTTAAATGTTGTAATCGTAAACGTTATAACATGCATTTCATTTCTAACTTATTTGTAATAGTTTTGGATATTCTATGAATGAGAAAACCATACTAATCATTTCACCTGAAGTAGGGATAATACGGGTTTTGATGTAGAGCATAAGGTGTGTACGATCACAATTAGGCAGCAATTTGGTTTTATCTTAATCATAAACAACATATAAGCATGTAAAAAAACTTACATTTGTTGAAAAACAAACTGTGACGGACAATTGACGTCGCAAAATAATAAAACGGTGCGTTACAACAGAATAAAATGGCACTAGAATTATCGGAATTCAATCTTTTTTCGTTCGATGTTTTAAATAATGAGGCATTCTGACTTAATAGATAATAAAACGGTATGCTATTTAGTATGAAGTATTTGCAATTGTATAACGTCGCATAAGAACTGAGGATTCATCAGGTATGCGATAACTATACATGAACATTCATAATGATTCGGCTCATATGTTTTACTTGCTAAACATAGCTTATAATAATAACACTGATTCATTTGTTTGTGTTTTGCGTTCTAGGTTCTTTGTTTTATCAATGCAGCATTAAAAGCTAGCACGTGTACTGTCTTGTAATACTTACCTATAGCGACAATAGCCATAAATGTAGAGAGTCTTTTCCGACATGCCATATGTTTACAACTGCTGTGGTCTTGGGGTCCGTTAATAAGATCCAAATACTTGTCTCCAAGTATTCCGACTGGAGACAGACGCCGAGTCTCTGTATCGGGGTCCATACTCTCTATTATCAGCATATGATAGTCAAGGTCGTGACACTCGTAGGCTTGCCAGGCAGTTCGGTATTGGCACTGATCATTTCGTACAATTCCTGTATCAATACATTACACTTTTAATATCCAAACCGAAAAACGAGGGAGCATATAGTCGTTGCCCTGTTCATTAGTTTGATATGCTGATGATGTAAGAGTCAATATGTCAAAGGTCGAGATTTTAGTGGCTATATCAGATAAAATTGGGGGAACCGTTAATTTTCGAATATTATCTTTTACATGATATAATCCTGTACATCTAAACCAATTTGAATGGATGATGCCCCATTATAAAAGGGATAGAGAGAGTTCCCTATTGACATTTGAATTACAAGGTCAGATGTCAAATTCACTAGCATTTGACTGAATTTCTTCTGTAAAGTTTGTATACGGATGCCATAATTAGGGCAAGACGAGCTTTCACATTATATTTAGCCTTGTGTGATGCCTAGGCAATCACTTCTTTTCTTTAAGGCTGATATTCGTTCAATAATTTTTCTTTTAGGGATTGTTTTTTTGATCTTGTGATTTTGCATTTTCAGTGCTACCGAAATGACAATGCTTAATATACATGTAAGCTACCTTTGTGCGGTGCGATGCTACTGACATTGACACGTATACCCTCCAATGTAGTAAGCATTTCTCTGGGTATTTTGTAGTCCCCTAGTCCTCTTCGCGAATCACCGTTCCACTCCCATTCCGACTGGGATATGACAGCACCCTTTGTTCCAAGAAAGGACCCATCTTGATCTTTTATAAGCGCCTTTTTCAATCCATCACAGTCCATATCAACACAGTCACTCGGGTTTATTTTTCTGTTCCGAACACAAAATGTATGTAATCTATATTTTCAAAGCATTTTCATATTGTTTTTATAAAACGGCATATAATGGATTACGTATAACTACTTTCCCAATTCTAATTTGTTTTTAATTTCTGTTTAATATTTTTGTTCATAATCAAATTACATATCTGTATGCATATTTGCTTATTTCACAAAAATCAAAGTCGATGTGTTAACAACAATATATTGACATAATTCCTCATAAAAATACGTTCGTTCGATCCTTGATATTTTTTGGACAATTGTACTGTTTTTGCTATAAGAAAACAAAATACTAAGGAGAAATAACTACATGGAAGTTTTGTACTCGTAATTTTAACATATTTGATATAGAATATTATTAACTCACTCAATATTTGGCCGATCAATGAAGAAAAAATTGTGATTGTCCGACTGATAGACTATGATTCTTTTAGTAATCACTGGGTGTTGTCCGTCATCGTTAGCCTTGTTCGTTGTAATCATGATATCCTTAATACCACATACCGTGTTAAAATGTGCGAAAGTAACGCCTGCATATGGAAACAAAGTGATTAGTACTTTGCATGTAACGAGATGAAATACTCATAAAACACATACAGTTGGTGCGTAATTAAATAGTATATGCATTAAGAAGCATTTAAAATGGATAAAAGCATGAGGAGCGTGCCGGGAATCATATTCATTATTAAAATTCATATTTGTATCAAATCAAATATAAGCGCTATCGCTTGGAAACAAATACATCAACATACCGCCTTCTTCTCTAACGAATTCATTACACTACTGCAATGCACGTCCTTTTATTACCTTGACTAGTAATGATACGCTTTAGCCTATACATTTAAACGAAGTCTGGCGTAGTTTAGAAATAAGTAAAGTAAAGATAATCGGGAAACAAGATACAAATCTTTTGTAGGAAACAGAAGTAAATCAATTCCTTTTGCTGCAAATAAACAGTTAGTACATTACTAGATTTATCAAATGTTATTTGATAATACCCACCATCGACATTAGTCGCCCCCATGATTGCAGGATAGGTCTTGATTCCAACCAGAGAGGAACTAGGAGCACCATTAGTTCCTTGCATAAATGAAGTGAAATCCATACCAACGTGCCCGGCTCTATACTGTGTAGAAATACCAGTGGAGTTGATTCGGTCAGATGTACAATCAAACGACGAGGTTGCGCCGATGATAAGAGTGTGAGTTATGTTGCAATATTTAGTGGCATACTCGTGATTAACAGCGTTAGGTCCAATAACTGAGTGATACAGTCCCAGCGTATTTTCTATCAGAACATTGTTCCGTGTAACCACAGACAGTCGGTTGTTGTAGTATATTCCGATATCACGACATTTCCAGATAAAATAGTTTGATATTTGGTAGCACGAGCTTTGAACTAAATCATCGTCAGGGTACACGGCGACACCTATTGCAGAACTGTGTGCCTCGTTTCCTACTCCACCGGCTGTGGCGCCACATTCAACACCGGGGACGTGAAAAGCGACTCCATATGTTCCGGTGACGACATTGTCCTTGATTTTCATGTGTCGTCCTTGAAGTCCATGTATTGCTCCGAAAGTAAGTCTACTGTCAGTTACCAATACAATTAGATTTCGCTGAATCGTTGTATTAAATGATTGGCTTTTAATTGCTGAAATATAATCGTATTTCATAAGAAAACTTCAAATCTAGAAAACCATGCAGTTAATAAAATATGTTTTGGCTATATCGAATCTGAAATGTATTCTTATTGTATCATGTTCGTAATATTCATACAACCTCTGCGTTATTTGCATTTAAGCTCATATTTTTCCTTGATAAATCAAGGGTATCACACATCAGATAAATATACAATTTGTTTGCTGGAGGGATCTTTATCAAATTACACTTGCAAGTTTCCTGTTATCCCTAGCTACACATATCGTACTTTATAATAGATCGAAAAAACAAGATGTCTACCGAACAGTCCTATGTAATTTTGTTATCACTTTTATATATATGTCCCCTTTGGTCCCATTGTTGAAAATGCACCTGGCCCTTATGTAAATTCATACGTCATTGATAGCACTTCTAGTAATGTAAGAATTACAACTGTTTAGCTTTTGCATATAGTTATGTAATTTCAATACAATAATGTTGGTCACAGTGGCAAATAGTAATTGTAACATATTCCAATTAAGATTTTCCAAATGGTATTTGGAAATAATACCTGTGAGTAAAGTAAAGAGCAAAGAAAGTAAAAGATCATCGTTTGAAGATCTGATAAAGATTTGATAAATATTACGCAACAACCCTTCTAGGACCGCCTATGATTTGATTTGGTTTAGTATTGTTAAACGTCCTATCAACAGCTATGGTCATTTAAGGACGGCCTCCCCTGTGTGCAAGATGGATGCGTGCAAATGATGTGGTGGCTGCCTTCTTCATGGATTTTCAGTCAGGTAGAACTATATGTCAAAGATTATACAAGAATTTGATATTTAAATAATTACAGGCATCTGATCGTTTCGCTGTGTACTTATGTATGCAGTTGTTAACATGTTGTTTCAATTTAGTTTTCTTTATGTATGTAAGGTTGTTAAATGTCCCTCATCGTATCGATATGATTTTAATCGTTGGGCAGCTAACACAGATATTAACTTTTAAAACGTGTTAAGCTTTGGTGTTACCTTGCATCGACGAGTGATGAATGACGTTGTCTATCAGAACGAGGTCGTTTGATTCATACACTCCAATAGCTGGTGAAAAACCGTCGTGGAAAACACACTTAGTCACAGATGACGATGTGTTTTCAGTGACTTTCGCGGCGTTCCTATACAGCAAGGAAAACTGCCTATGAATAACGTGAGTGTACTCTTTCTGGCCTGTGAGATGGAACTCGACGTTGCTGAGACTTGCGTAACCTATAAATGGCAAGATACATATATTAACTCTATACATCTCAAACACATTCATTTCGCTATAACATTGAAGTAAAAATTTAATAATTAAGTGATTGAATATTTTTTTTAAACTATCATTTGACAAGGGTTTATCTTCATTCCTTACTATTTTGCCTTTTTTTGTCTATTTGTTTTTTAATTTTTACAGAACCACTACTGAGAATTTTCAATTAAAATAGACTTCGTAGTACCTTCTCATTTGCACTGTTAGTTTGATTAAACAATGCAAAATAATTGGAATTTCCTGACCGTATTTTTTAGCAAACTCTGTCAATAAAAAGCAGCGGTCATTCAAATCGTTGATGCTTTTAATATTAGTTTAGTACCTTGGAATGTTTAGACGTACGAGTTACCATACTTACAAACTTGTATTTTACCTTTATAGATACTACCGTTAGCCTCCGCCGTTCCGACTATCACTTTTCCACCGTACATGTCGGCACTGTTTACCTCCCCTTGAAGTCGAATATTTCTGGTCAGAAGTCCCACTTCAGATGCCATTATAATATGTTTACCATTGATCATTTCTTCGTGAGCTGTACAAAGAAGGCACAAGATTGAATTACAAACATGTATATATAACCACATTGTAATACAACGCACCATAATATAATATTAACAAACTAATTGAAACTTTTATAATGACAGAGTCACTCAATGATAAATGCTTTTTTAAATATTCAATCTACGAGACATAATGTTTTGGCTGAAATATGTTCAGCAACGGGGAGCAAAAACAAAACTTCAGAAAAAATGTATCAGATTGATTGAGTATGCAGGAAATCAGACCGCAGAGAGGATATATCATTTTTTTTTAATCTCAAAACTTAACCTACACATAACGGGATACTAAATGATCACCCAATGTTTATGATCATTTGTACTTTTCTTTTCAGATACATTTGTAATTTGAAAAGTCGTTTGGCAGGTAAAGTATTGTCATTAGCTTGATAGTTGACTAGCTATAGCAACGTAACGTGTCCTGGTACACTCAGTGGATGTTAAATTCAAATATACTTCATTGTATATGTAGATTAAATCGACTCGGTGGTTTTTTAGTGTAAAAGCTTCGGTTTACTGGTTGGAAATGAGCAAATTTATACATGTTGGCCATATATGTTGGGCGTTAGGTAACTACATATCAATGATATAATATCATTTCTTTCCAAAATGATTACTTTAAGATTAGTGGTTCATATGAATCTAGTTGAATTTATTTTACGGTTCAATAATAACTCATTGCGACATATTAGAAAGCAGCGTGCTGTTATTTAAACATTAAAGTGCGTTCTTTGGAAAGTTATTGTCCTATAATCCTGTGAGAATTATAGGAAAATAACTGTCCAAAGAAGGCAATTTAATACTTAAATTTCCGTTTTTAATTTTAGTTTTTCTTATAATTCAAACCTGTTTTCGCATTTCAAAGTCAAATTTCGCGCTGTCTGTCAACGGGACCTTTTATTGTGACGTGACGATTACACGCGACCGTTCCCGGCAAAAAATAAAGTTGATGGAAATAAACCCAAAATCATCAATTACATTTCAAGAATTTAATCAAGAAATTCCACCGTGAGGATATTCACCTTTTATACAACAGAACTACATAAATTGTTGCAAGTTACATTGTTTAATCCGGTAGTACGGATCAGTTACCACGAGGAATACGTATTGTTATTGTTTCGTGACGTCAATAATACACTTAATATAGTGACGTCGGTCAAAACGACATCATTTAGTCACGACGTCACGAACATGGTCTTTATATCGCTAGACCAATGGGAATGAAATGAGAATTATGATCTGAAATCTTTCTATTTTGTTTGATAAGGTTATATAGTGACAATGCAGAGCAAATGGAAATATATATATATATGAATTTTATGTGAATAAACGCATAACAGACCCTTCCCGTTTGAGTAGCTTGTGCTGGTACATCACGAACTATGAATAGCCTGATACAAGGCAGGATATAGTATCTAAATCAAAAGTTACCAATAAAATAAGAAATATTAACGGAAGATTTTGCTTAAATCCAAAGATGCTTTACATATTTACCTATGTGTCGGAATCGTAGGGAATCGTTCAATGATAAAGTGAAGCCGTCGTCAGAAATGTTATTGATAGTGAATGTTTCCGTTTCCCATATGTCATAACTGGTCGGGGCGATGACAATTTCATCCCCGATCTCCCAGGTCACGTTTTGTACAAGTGTCACCTCACTTTCACCGGGATTTGCTGTTCTGTTTAGTCTTGTCCATGTTATACCAGTGCCCTTGCCATGTAGATCGAGACCGCCATAAACACCTGTTTACACGGATAATAATGGAAAAGACTTTCAATGCATTTTGGTGTTGGCGTGAATAAGTACGGAAATTTATAGCTGAATTTATAGAGAATTGTAAACCAACAAAATAAATTCTTCTTTCAATGTTCTGATAACGAGTGTGTCTACATTGCATTGATGTTAAGAAATGTAAGTAAAGAATGTATTTACCGAGACATTTGGCATTTATCGGTATATTGGTATGCTCCAGTCGTGTCTCTGAGTTGTGTCTCTGGCCTCGCAATATAATGTCTATATGACCGAGGAAGGGGTCAGCTGGTAAACCGATTATGAGTTTCCCCCCTATTATTATGATGTCCCTTGCACTGAAAGTGAATATGCGGTAAGAACCATTTTCTGGACCATGGTCGAACTCCAAGACGCCATATATAACGACAAGGTTAAGCGTTGGTATCACCGTGTCGGCTTTCATCCATATTCCTTGTAAAACGAAAATATAGCTTTAAAGGTAAAATTACAACTTTGTCCATAACCTTATTACATAAATATTTGTTACAAGCTATAGTACAGAATAGTAGAAGTAATGAAAACATGCAGTAAAACAATCTTAACAAAATTCCCATACCCGAAATAAACACGTTGTTTTTAGTTTATGTATGAAGTGATCGGATCATTGTTTATGCTGTGTGTTAATAATAATCAATACATGCGTTTCTTTCCACGTCAGTATTTAACAATTTCCAACCAGGTACAAGTCGAGATCATTGTCAGGTACTTAATACAGATCGCCGTAAACATCACGGTTTCCACTCGGGTCATTTCATTTAATATATCACACGATTTGCAAACAGTGCAACATTAATATCGAACTTGAATTTAGCCTAGTGCAAATATACTGGAAACAGCCAATTCCATTTAATACTGTACCAAACATTCGTGCATCTGAATATTTCTAATATTTTACTTTCAAATAAAGTTACCAAAAAATACATGCATAGTGCCGTCGCGGCAAAATTTGCACAAAAATGCGTTATTTTGTTAAGTTTTCGTTAAAATTATAAAGATGCCCCAATATATTTACATTGTTAGTCTTCTTTTTATGCACAACATTGTTCTTTTATTTCCTAATATGTTACAAGAGTGCGCTGAAAGGACATTACTAAGGTATTATATTAAGTAATAAAAATATATAAAATCAATAATTTGTAGTGTTTCACCACTTATACGTTTGATAGTTATCCAAAACATTTGCAGTTCCGCCTGGGTCTATACCCGAAACTGTCACATTTAAAAAACAAACCGGGTGTTCCGCATTTTTAAATAAACAAAACAATATTGCATTACCCTTTGTGATATTCACGTTATCTCCAGTAACGGGAAGTGTGTCGTTGGGCCATGACGTAGGAGATGACCAGTTCGTATGTAACGTTGACGCTGGCGCTGGTGTCGTTGTAGGTGGTGATGTAGGGTAGATGCATCCACGGTATAAACACTTGGTTATTTGTAGTGAAACATATATATCCCTTGGTCCCTCATCAATAATGCGTCCACGCTGTCTATATGACACTGAAATATAAATACATTTCTAAATGATTGAATTGATGTGTGACAACGTCATTATACTGTATGATACTGGATTACATACTTATGATGACATTTATTCGTTTCATTGAATACACCTTCCTGTAAGCATTAATTGAAAAATCAAAGACTACACAGTTACTAAATCTTTAACTGCGTTATCAAAACGTCGGTTAATAATACAAAATGCGCACGTCAACGTCAATGCCGTTTATAGCTACGAGTTCAAATATGACAGCATGCACATTTGTTATTTGTCAACTTATATTGAAGTCCTGTAGTTAATGTAAAATAGCATGTTGATTAATAAATAATCAAATAATATTAAAAAATAAGCAGTCAATCTATAAGCAAATCAAACGTTTTTAGTTGTTGACATAGTTATTGTATACGATCAATCTTAAACGTTTGGTGGAGCTAAAACAGTTAGTGTATTTATTTAAGCGGACACAAATGTTTGCTATTATCGATTTTTTACAGCTTAGCACTTTGATGTATTCGCAACTTTTGCAACAAAAAGTCATATACATTAACTTAAAATCATAAATTAGCGCTTTGTTTGAAGCGCTTAAATTAGAAAAACACTAAAATATGAACGTTCACAGTAGCACACATTATTGGTATACGGTTGTTGTTTTTTCACAAAAAGAACCATAGAGGTAAACATGTCAAATATGCTATATTTACATACGATGTCAAGCTTTATGATGTGTCGTTCGACGATATACTAACCAAGAATTGTTATATTGCCCGTTGTTTCGTTGTACTGCCAGTCACCATGATAATGTGTCGCCGGGTCTAATGTTTCATTCACAGGATTACGTTCATTATTATTTATAAAAAACCTGTCTGGTTCACCTCGCAACGTCTGTGTTATCATTACATGATCTCCATACTGAAATGCAATATGGCAATACGGCCGCAAGCACCATTAGCAAGAACTAATAACAATGCATATATTCAATACAACCAATTATGCTGAACGTCATTTCTTATTAAAATGTATATTATTCAACATACTGGTATATATGAATTTACCTTAAAAAAAATGTTAAGAAAATTCAACCTGAGATCAGCAATATGGGTTAGCCATTAGCATTTAACAGAAGCGTATACGGTAATATGACTCAGTATTAAAATTCAATAAGTACCGTTTTAGAAAAACGCTTTAAACACTAATCTTAACAATACCAATGTAGTTTAATGTAAGTTCATAAGGTTAAAGATTTTCCTATATTAGTTACCTGCATTTTATAGAAATATCCATCCCAAGACACATTTGTCATTTTCGCCGGATAAGAAAGATGCCAAAAGTAGGGTTCCTCTGACACCAAATATGACATCCAACCCGATGATGGTAATATGGCTTTTGAACGGTAATTGCTTACAGTTGTTCCAAAATTATTGGTTAAAAAGAGAGTAGGATATCTGTTATATCCATCGACAACAAACCTAACAACAGCAACTCTGATAAGTGTGACGTCTGACGGACAGACACATAGAGAAATTGTCGATGAGTTTGAAAACACGGTACAATTAGGGGGTAATGTTCCACTACAAGATACAACCTTACATGACTTATATCCACAAAGACTTCCATCGGCGTCTTCGAAGACAGATTCCCAAATCCAGTCGTTCTTTATGCGATTTTCTACATTTAGGAATGTTAGATTCTGAGTTTTGTATAAAAACCCACCACAGTTTCCGGAACATCTGTCAGGTGTCTTAGTAACTGTCAATGCTGCACAATCAGGTTGGTCAAAGTTGACAAAGGTGACATTACGAATCGTGAAGCCATATCTGTAGGGAGATGCAACGCCACCTTTGGTACATCCTAGTGTCGGAAGACTAGAAACGTGACCGGCGATTAATGAGTCTTCTATCAGAGGTCCGTCGTCGGCATATTCGTTTCCGTCTACTATTAGATCCCCTGTAAATCCAGCTTCAACATTATTAACGGCGACTAACCCTTTGACCTGTATGGCCCCTATATCAGTGAGAACAAGTCCTTTTTCACAATTCCATATAAAAGTGTCTTCTAATAATACAGCTTTTGGCGATGACGAATATGAGTTTATTCCAAACATCACACGTGGAATGTACTTCGGATATATTGTCAAACCATCCCATCCGAACGAATGTGCAGTATTATTGTAAAATTCAGCAAAAGGTGTCATCTGTGGATAATGAGTACCAGATACGGAATCCAAATTGAACCAATATCCATAGTGTGTTCCACCAGCTGCAGTATTATGACGCACAGTGTTGTTAGGGTTTGTAATCCAGAATGTTGCTGGTGTAATGTCATTCACCAATAACTTAACAGTGGATTTGGCAAGCAAAGCTAAATTGTACTGAATTATATTTCCTGTCTCAGATCCTTCTTCCAAAACTATAGCTCCACCATTGATGTCGTAAATCACATTACTGTCAACGAGAAGGTTTTGTGTATCTACAATGTTGATAGCACGATTAAATGATCGGTGAATACTACATCCACGAACGTAAGATTCCAACATATCGCCTGTTGCATGGAAGTTTATCGGATAGCGACCAATTCGGAAAGCTTGTCCAACGTGATAGAACTCGACATACTCAATACGGCTTGTGGTCAGCTGTTTTGCTGGGTCTGTAGTGTGAATCATAACCTGAGCTCCGAATTGGTCACTCCCCATCTCTTCTCCACTTCGACCCTGATAGCATGTTTGTGTTGCAAAGAAATCTGTAAAAGACCAATGACAGAATATCTTTAAAAGTATGAATATGCATTATGATATTAATAATGGTAAATCATATTTTTGAAAAATACGTGATCGAAAGATTTATCATTGTTTTTCATGTAGGCAGGGTAGGAAGCGATATTTGATACCGAGAGCAATTGAATATTATCGTCAAGATCATTAACATTTGAATATAATAAAATGATAAAACACATATATCTATGTCTTGACAAAAAATGTGTATATGAAATATAAAAACATACTTTCATTAAACCCATCGGATCATTCCTTGACCTTCTTCGTCCACTGCGGGTCGCTGTGTCCCCTAATAACCACATTACGAGAAAGTAATCCAACCTCGGCGCTGAAATCAGCATCCCGTCCTGCCAACAATTCGGACACTCCTAGATGTGTGCTTGTCAAGTTTTTGTTAAGCGTAATAGTCCTATTGTCGTCCGCTATCATAACTATTGTGAAAACCTCGCTTTCTGAATAGGAACTCGTTCCACCTGTTGTTGCTATAACGATCTGATCCTCTTTCTGCCACGTGACTGTATGCCGCAATTTAATTTTCGTTTCACCCATGTTGGCAGTCTCACCAAGTTTTGTCCAGGTAATAGGAACATGCCTTCCTGAATAATTAAAGAGCATCAAAAACGTTTTGCTACTAAAAGCATTGCTTTTAGCTTTTAAGATAATGCGTACATCCTGTTCAGTACTAAGTTTAAAACCTATCAGGAACTATTAGCAAACGTATGTTGTTAAATATGTTTTTCGTTATCTTCCTTGTTATTTTAATTCATCTCTAAATCGAATACAAAAAAATCATAACTTATAGATACAAGTTAATCCTGAGAGTCGTGTGCGTCGTACTTTTAGATTCTTGTTTAACGTGTATTTCTAACTTTGGATAATGGTTCGATGTGCAATACTAAAGCCTGGATGCTAAATTACCGTGTAAGTCTAGTGTTCCCTCACGGACAGCAAGTGACTTTGTTCCGTATATTGGAAGTTCCTTTGATCGATAGTGTCCATGTAGTGTGATAAAGGCGTTGTGCTGGAATGGTTTCTCTTCTGTGCCTACCTGTTTAGAACGAAGAAACATCAATGTTGCGATCAACTATTTGATATCTGTAACGTAGGGTCTGTAACAATGCGTGCATCAAGCGTCGCTGCCGATATATGTTTTGAAATAGGAATAAAGCATAGGCTCAGATGCGTACCACTTTGCTGTCTCGAGGTTTTCGTGATGAAATACAATCAGCTTATCATTGGAATTAATATAAGCCAAAATATCGATTGTAAGCCTTATTCAAGAAAATAGTTGCTTTTAAAACCAGCCCGAGATAATTGGAATATCTTGGAGTACATTGTTGCCTTGCTTGGTGACATCACGTTTTTGACTATTATGCTGAACGAGGTGGTCAATGGATTCTGATCCAGAGCAGTGACATACCAATACCTGAAAACGATAGTTATTTCCTGCTTAACGTTAGCAATAAGGGAAATAGACACAACGAGTGCATATTTTGTCCGTATAATATGACAAAGCGAAATGCTATGATGAATGCCTTCGGCATGGTATTGAAGATAGTACTTTAAAGTTGGCATCAGATCCGCGCTATTACAAGGAGGTAGCTTTACCAACATGCCCTGCCTTCTGCAGACATATACACTTGCACGCATAAACTACAAACATTAAGGCATTCTCAAGAATCTTAGCTATTGATAGGACGTTAAACCCTATAAAACCAAACCAGACGGTAACAAAACAAAACCATGTAATCAAAATGTATGTTCTAAATAAGTTTTGAGAATAGACCAAACCTGAAAAAAGTATGATTAATAACATTTAAACAAGATAAGGATCGTTCGGGCAGTTTAAACAATAACATGAGGAATGTAACTATTCTGTACTCAATTTTTACGATGTGTACCATCATCTTAATGGCCGAACAATTGAAGGAGAAGATTTCATGTTAAAAACAAATTCGAAAGTAGGACAGCATTTGAAATTGGTAGGCTTCGAAATTTCTTGCTAAAAACGTATACTGCGGCTTATAAATTGCTTTAGAGTCACTCGCATTTATTTGGAATATACCAATAACTTTGTATGTACCTGTAGGAGTCCCCCATCTGTTATTAATATATTTTCTGCCTGGAGTTCCACATTTTGGTCGTCAAATATCAGTTCTCCACCTTAAACGAATGTATTCGTGCATTAATCACATAAATAAATACATTTATAACGAATAATGTATCCAGTAACGATGCAATTTTGACCACTCTAACAAATATTTTACATTTATTGTCGCGGATTTCTGTTTAGTTGCAAAATGACCGGAAGATAGAAGGTACATAAATGAGTTATTGATATACAAACATACCTGATCATATTTGTAGAACCTACCAGCAAATAACAAAAAAGTTAAAATTCCGTTGAGTGGACAATTAAAAATGGCGCACATTCTTGTTGTCAACCGTGACGTCATTAGAGCCGGGAGTCAACTTTAATGCTACCAATTCCCGCATATTTTATTCGCCTGACATTGAATACCATAAATGTATCACTCGTATGGCAGACAAAACTACATTACCAGTCGATTATTGAATTTATTAATTCGAATTTTAAATTTTAAATTCTAGTTATTAGATCCGAAAAGGTCATTGTTTTGTAGAAGAAATATATCCTTACCTTGGATGACCACCATTTTGAGAATTGGCGTGTTTACATCGAGTACGATTGTTTGTCCTTTTTGAATGACCACGATGTCTCCAGCCGCGGGCAGACCAAGTGCCGCCCCACCCCACGTAAACACAGATGACCACATATCAACAAAATGGAATTTAGCATTAATCTGAAATGTGATAATCAATAACATGTAAAGAGCTTTTTAGTGTTGATAAGGCGATGATTCCTATTTGAAGATAAAATTAAATCAGATTAAATTCGAGTTAATGAAATTGTTTACTGTTGGAAATTTTTATTTTCACTATCGTTTTCCAATCATAACAATTGTTCGTGTCACACTTGTTACAGTCTACGTTGTATATTCTAACGGGACATCACTCTGTATCTCAAATCTAGTTTAACAATAATAATATACTAGTAAACCTTAAAGATAACAGTAAAATCAAATATTTTATTTTTAGAGCGCGACTTCGTATGCTCATTTTATTACCAAGATACTTGCTTCTGAATGATATTATTCAATGTCACGTTCTCGATATGACTATTTCTAAGGGCCTTACGTTATAGGAATATACACACATTATTCATTTTAAAAAATCCGATTCAATACAACAGCTGATTATATTACGTTTACTCGACTTACTCTTTAAAGCTTACCTCTTTAGCTTTTCCGTTACACCCATTTTTTAGTTTCACAAATCCTTTTTCCGATTTCGAGTGAGCTTCGATGACACAAACAACACGAGTATTCGACCAAAAAATGATGTTGCAAAGTGTTCCACTGACCGTAACTGAAGAAACACATTCTCCAGCTGTATCTTGAATTCTGTTCAACATATTTAATTATTTAACATTAGCCTATTCGGACGTTACTATGCTCTTTTTAAGAAAGTAAGGTATACGAGACCGAGACATATAAACATTAACTTATACCGCAAAAGAGCATTTAAATACCAACATTAAATACGCATTTTATTATATGCACAGTTAGACATTATATATTATCTAAAAATAACTGTGACGTAAGATAGCAATTGCCAATAAGGGAGATGAAGCTGTGTAATTGAATATCAACGAGATCAGTGTAACTTTTTTCCTGAAATGATATAAAAGACTAAATGTTGATCTATCTCCATGTAAGCATTCCTTTTCTGAGAACAATTGTTTACCTTAATTGCTGGTTTTTTTTATTACGTATAGGTATGAAACGATCGTACCCGAAATTGGATCCTGAAATAGTAATTCTAGTTCCTCCCTTAGTGCCTCCCCTTGCTGGAGTAACGTCACTTATAACTGGAGTAACAGCCTCGTCGTACATATACGCACTTGGTAGTGTTTCATTTGCATTGTTGATACTAACGCACACAGTGCAGTTATAAGGATGAAAACCTGTTGGGACAAGAAACGCAATTACATTTGATTATTGAAACATAAGTAAGTTCCAGTTTCGGAGAAGTCACATCTGGACTGGTGAAATGTGATATAACTTCTTTAGGTATTACATGTAACTTTGACCAGGAAGCAAATTCTGGCCACGCCAGGTTAAAAAAAAAAAATTTGCCATAGAACACCCAATAATTTCATTCAAAATTATGCTCCCTACCCGTTTCTTTAACCATGACAGACTTGTTAGGGAAGAGGAACTGAATCCTATTCCTTTCATTCCAGAGATTATCAGCTTAGCTGATCCGAACAACCGAAGTTACCGAAGACTGATGTTTTGCTTCAGACTAAAAGTATACGTACCAACATGCCTGAAGAATTTGAAACGCCATTTTTACCTTTACTTCTGCGTTCCCTGCTTACACTTTCATGTCTACCGATGGCTAAAATGATTGGGATACATGTGTTGCCTTTCTGATGGTGCTTCAGTTTCCACAGCCGAAGCTTATTTTTTATTTCGTATTTATAACAAGGGGAATTCCAAGAGCAATTTAATGCTATGATTTCCTTTAAAGTCTTAAACAGTGTTATTTCAGAAAAAATTCAAAATTTGCTTATTTGACCTAGAAATATGTTATATCCGGGTAACAGATTATGTTGGAATCGATGGAAACTATTATCAAGTTAACATGATCAGATTTCAAATCGCATATATTGATTTCTTTAAAACGAAGATATTAAACAGACAAATGTTAACGCTGTCTCCGTCACCAGAACAGTTGGGGAGGGACTAGTAAATTGTAAGAACTTGTGTTCAATCCCTTTGACGGATTAATGCCAATTCAATGTTTGAACGAAAAGTAGGAAAGAAGAATCAGTCTTGGTTCGAGCTAGAATGTAGCATACAATCTTTACTCATGCATACTTGCATAAGGGTGAATATTAACCTTATTGATTCGCTTGTGATACTACATTCAGAGTTTATAATTTTATGATCACGTGTAATTGATCTAAAACGTGGTAAACATTTTAATGTACAATTTCTAAAACAAGTTCCCATGAAAACATTATTATTAAGTACACACAAGAAATAGGCATATTTAATAAAATATAGTGTTCGAGCTTGCACTACCATACAGTTATTAACATTTTTCAACTTTTAACATTATTGTTCCTATTGGTAAGTGGAGCAAATTTTTGAGTCCTTTTTAATGTTTAACCCGATGATAAAATGACTACCGATGGACCAATCAGCCTTTATTTTATTATTACAAAAACCCCGTTTCACTATTAAAGCTATTTGCAACAGCTGTTATTGTTTGTTACGTCGACAAATTGAAATAACCAAGACCGTAAAACTTGGATGAGGTTCGAACCATGTTAAGAATAAAATTAACGTTTGTACCTGGTGCAGACGGCGTATCACATATGTAGTGCGATGATGACACTGACGGATGGTCCTTTGAAAGATTGCAAGGCTGACCACAGATGGTAACCACCATGTCATCGTCAAACCCAGCTCCTTTTATAGTTACTTGTTGGTCACCAGCTAAACTACCTAAATTTTGAAACAAATAAAACATTTGTTATCCAATAAACATGGCATTTTCACTTTTGCACATTTACAAATACTACTGGCACAAGTTAATAGAATTCAAATCATGTTCAACATTACTTTATCAATACAGTGTATAAATAGAAATTTTTCTGCGCCAATATGTATGGTACATTATTATGAAACATGTATAAAATATAGAAAAATTCACATGCGTGTTTTATTCCACATGCCGCATTTATTACACACGTTATGGCACGTCATTAAATTTCTTAAGCTGTTTATAAAATGTTAACCCTAATAAATCAAATGAAAAATAACTTGCCTGCACTTGGTGAAATTGACGTTACAGTCATGTCGAATGAAAATACAAAATCATCGTTGGATCGCCCTGTGCCGTCAACATTGACGAAAACATTATACGTCCCTGCTCGGTAATTGCCGAGAGTACATTCTACTTCAGTTTCCGACAGATGAGTTATGTCACATAAACCTTCGCCTATGGTAAAAGTCGTTTTATTCAACGTAATTCCAAAGTTAGATCCACTTATGGTAATATTTTGACCGTTGGTACCAGACGCCGGATATATATCACGTATTGAAGGAGTTGCTGCTAGCGTGTAGAGAAATGTGTTTGATGGATAGTCAACATTATTAGATCGAACTGTCAACGTTACGTCTCCGGCTGAACAAGCGGGTGTAGTACACACAACTGACGATATTGTCCTAGATTTCACTGCACAGACTGACTGATCAAGGTGGATTGTAACGTCAGACAAAAATCCATTTCCAGTAATCGTGAGGTCAAGGCCTCCGTAGATACTCCCTTGCGTTGGTGAGACGGATGAAATGACTGGTGGACTTTCCAGTGTAACCTTTCTGTATTTCTGAATAGCTCTTCCCTTGTCAACAACGTCGACATCAATTGTATTGATTCCAACCGGTAAATAAGTAATTTGACATATGATTTGCGAATCCGATACATTTTTTACCGCACACGAATTTTGCTGGGACGATGATATGATTACAATTATATTGTCTAGAATTTCCCCAAAACCGGTCCCAGTAATTGTAACCATCGTTGCATTTTCACCTGTAATAGAAGTAGGGCTGATGTCGACTACCGTTGCTGTCACCGCATCGTCGTAGGAAAACTGGCATGACCCGTCACAAACAGCGGCAATCATCATACTGCCAAAACCGGGAACATGCACTGACACGTCGCGTTGAACATTTACGGCAGAACTAGGCGATACACAAACGATCTCGGTATAAAGACTCGAAACGACAGCACAAGGATAACCTCCCATTGTTACAGTATTCTTATTGGTCATGTTTCCCTCCGCAAAGCCCGATCCTTTTATCGTTACTTTTGTGTGCCCGCCTCGGGAACCATTTTTAGGAGAAATGGAGCGAATGATAGGGTAAAGGGCAAATGTTTTATACGTGGCCGTATCTATATTTATATGAGCAAACCCTACCTTATAAACCAGAAAATCTACGTACTGCGGTCGCCCTATTGCTGGTTTGTTTTCAGGATCAATTGTGCATGTAACAGACGATTTGGTACTTGACGTTATCTTACACCTATAATCACCAAACGTTACGTGGCTTCCACACATAGCGTCAGAGAACCCACTTCCCGATATTGTTATCGCGTCATCTATGGTACCATTTTGTCGACTAATTCTATCAACTGAAGGTGATTTGCATGTCGAGAAAGCAAACTGAAAACGGCTGTCATTTGTGGACTCAACAGGCAGATGGTCAACACATCCGTTTCTTACAGCAGCAGTCTCCATACACGTCAAGTTACCTGAAATATAAAAGGAAATTTATAACGATTGATAAAATAGTTTGTGTGGTCCCTTTCCCATAATGAAACTAACAACACATGAAGCGGGAAGTGAACAATAAGAATTCAATACGCTTTATATCGTTCACTTTGTGGCGTAATTCTGTCGAATCTCCACCTAAGGATGTAAATTGACAGTAAACATCATTTTCATAGTTTGTGTCATGATGTCATTATAATAAATTGTACTCTTATTCAATTCTATATATGTGTTGAGTTTTATGTGGAGTAGGCATAAATGCAAATTATATACATAGCTGATTTTATGTCGCGACACATAAACCCTCCATTAGACTGTTTGACAAGTATTGTTAAAAGGTTGCTACGAACATCGCCCCCTTAGGGTGCCGCTCCCATCTTCTTGGTGCCTCCATCGTTTTGAGGTTTTTGATTGGATAATATCCCACGCTACAATCTGATTGGCTGTAGGCCTCTTTCTTCATCTTTAAGAAAATTTTCAACGGCGCCATTTTGTGGCAGCATATTTTTATAAATTTATACCAAATTTGCCTTATTGGAAAAACCACCCTTACATGCCACCCTTTTTAATATTGTTTGTTTTGTGATTTATATATATATGTATGTGGCGTAATTCTGTCGAATCTCCACCTAAGGATGTAAATTGACAGTAAACATCATTTTCATAGTTTGTGTCATGATGTCATTATAATAAATTGTCATCTTATGATGGCCTTATTCAATTCTATATATGTGTTGAGTTTTATGTGGAGTAGGCATAAATATTAATAAAGAAGTCTCTAAAGAAAATGACAACTAAATATATATGCGCAGCATAAGGTTCTTCCTCCTACGGACATGTTTACCTAATAAGCAGAACAGGTGGAAATTAGAAAACGAGAAAGACGGGCAAATCGTTGTTATAGATGTTGTCTATTGCAATACCTGATATTAAGCCAAGGTTATCAAAACTTACCAGGCACAGTTACTTCTGTAAGGTTATAGGTTGCCTCGATCTCTCCTACTGTAACACTGATATGAGCTAGGTATGATTTGCGCTCTACGACCTCCACGGATCCATGAAACCACGTTGTGCGATAGCTATCCAGATAACCGCTCCAGAAATAGAATGTTCCGGCTTTATTGAACTCGTGCAAATATGATCCTGTTTTTACACAACAATCACATTGAATATTTTGGTATATGTTATGCGTGTGCTATTAGAACACTAATTAAACTGCGACCATTTGTCAATAAAAAAATGCCGTTATATAGGCTTCGAGGTCAATGTAGTTCTAGACAATTAGAGTGATAAAAGGACTTTGGAAATTTAAAGAGGGGCATGATATCAAGGTTTTACTATATATGATGTCATGTGTTTAACATATTGTAACTAATACAATTAAAGACTATTAATGTTCAAAAGTTAGCAAGATCTTAAAAAATTTCATAAGATCTTTGTTATCTAAAATCCACAACGATTGAATCGCACCCATTTCTGACAGTCACAATAGTCACTTTCAATATTCAAAT